TGGAGACCAGCAGTAGCCAAAGGAGGCAGTGGAACCAGGACCTGGGATCTCCAGGGGGTCCTCAGCCCTCCAGGGCTGCCCATGCAGGGGGCACAAGAGGCCACTGCAGCCAACTTGAGAATGTGCTCCTCCCTCCTTGCAGCTTTATGGCTGCTGAGCTTTTTTGCTGCTTTTTGTAGACTTACAGAACCCTGAAGGTTGGAAAAGGCCTCTAAGATCATCAAGCCTGGCTGTTCCAGAACTGCCAAACCCAACAGTAAACCATGGCCTCAAGTGTCACATCCACAGGGCTTTTAAATCCCTCCAGGGACTCCAGTGACTCCACCACTTCCCTGGGCAGCTGTGCCAAGGCTTGACAGCCCTTTCCAGGAAGAAACCAGAACTCCTGAGCTGGGGGTTTGCTTTGCCTGTTGCTGCTTGGCACTTGCATGCTGGGAACCCTGAGAATTGGCTGTGTCTACAGCTTCCCCAGGACCTGCTGGAAGACGAGCCCGAAGGAGACAGGTGGGTTGAAAGTGCTCATGGCAGTGATGCTGTGCAGGTCAACAGGGTCTCGGGAGACCCTTTTCCCCCCTTGTGCCCAGGGCTTGGAGTGGGCTCTTCCCCTCCGCCAGCCCCCCAGCCCCATCCCCTACTCCTCCTGGCACAAACGGATCCTGAGGGGCCGGAGGACTCTTTTATCCTGCCTTCAAATTAACCCCTACTTAAAATTCAGACACAAATCAATGTTTAATTTCCTTAATTCAAATGATTTCCTCCTTCGATCTGAACAATGGGATTTGGGGAACAGAAGTGTGGGATGTGTCTGGCTGCAGCACAGCCAAGGCCCTGGTGAGCACAGGGAGAGCCCGGGGAGGTGGGGCCGTGTCCCCCCTGCTTGGGGACCTGGAGTGAGCCAGAGCTCAGCATCCCTCAGGCCTCCAGGAAGTCAAATTCTCCCAAGTGGGGGCCTAAAATGATATCCTGGCAGCCCCTGGGTTTGCAGAGGTTGAGGGTGGTGATGGATTGCTCCCACAGCCCCCCTAAAACCCAAAGTGAGGTGCCAAGGGGCTGATCTGTTCTCACTTGCACTGTGGGGGACCACAGGAGTCAGGATCTGGGGGGAAAGGGGAGAAGGTGATGCCAGCACCCCAGTGGTGGATAGGCTGAGCTCCCTCCCCATGTGCTGCTTTGCCCCTAAATGCCCCTGTCCCAGGATAACTCTGGATTTTGGGTTCACAGCCTGCTCTTCTGTGCTGGGGAGATGCAGGAGACCTCTGTGTCGGGGCTCACATGTACACGTGACTGTGGGAAAAAAGGGGAAAACCAGGATGATATAAAGTGCTTTTTATGAGCTCTTGCTGCCCTTACACACCCCAGTGGTGGGTCTCCTGGATGGGAGATGGTGGAGGAAAAAGCAGGATCAGATCCACTCAGATCTGGCTGAAAGACTGTTGAGTGAAAACACAGACATTCTGGCTCTGAGTCTCCAAAGCCTCCCTGCTGCTCTGCCTGCACATCTCATATCCCCTCCCAGT